TGGAGGTCCGGCTAGCAAAGTTTTTACGGTGACGGTATTATCGAAGTTATAAAGGCAATGATTATATTCTAAGAGTTTTTTCTGTACTATAATTACAAATGTAGTAAAAATAATATCTTTACTTTCATATATTAACGTTTATTATCGTATTATTAATTAAGATAATATACAGCACTTATTAAGCTTAGCTTTTTTCATTATATACTCTTTTAAATTGAAGGATTTTCCTTTGGCTGTCCGTATCGTGTGTTTTAGGCATCCATTATTATAATCGGGATACTTCTTGTCATAGATACACGAATACTTTCAGATGTTTTCGATAAATCTTCCAGATCTATTCTAGAGTAGCCACGAGGGAACATACACAAAAACTCGTTTTCCGCCATTTTCGCACTGTGTTACAATGAACTAGATTTCACTGACTTCTGATTGGTGGATGGTACTGTTTTATGGCCGTATTCATGTCCAAAGTTGAACACTGCTCAACTTACTTTTATGCTGGTTTTACAACCTGCTCAAGCATAAAATATCAGGATCATGTGATTAAAAGCTTTTACGGCGAGGAGTTTTTATGCCGTTTTTACGGTAGTGGAGTCCCAGCCTAACTGCTTTGACCATTAATGAAAATTGCTTTTAAAAGCAATCAAAAACTTAATGTTTTTCTACTGTATATTGGCTTTGCATTTTATTTTCAATAGTACATTGATTTTATTATGAGTCATTTTGGATATCAAAAAATATTTTAACATTTTACTTTTACACAGTGTGTGGTGCCTAGTTTTCAGCCTTATTGATAATTATGGAATCTATATTTAATATAAACATTATCATGTGGTGTAAAAATATTATAAATGATGATATAGTTATAAATAAATGAATTATATAAATTTTCAGGATTAGGTTCTTTAGTTGGACTTGGAATGGTATCACCAAATCAGTCTATAACTACAATGACAACTATATTTGGGTTGTCTGGAATAGTTGGTAAGAAGCCATTATATTTGACCATTATGAATTTGTTCTTTATCAATTCAAAATTGATGTTTATGATTATATTTTAGGTTATCATACTGTATGGGGTGTAACTCCAGCACTTCATTCTCCACTAATGTCAGTTACTAATGCAATATCTGGTATAACTGCAGTTGGAGGCTTATTATTAATGGGTGGTGGATTGTATCCTACTACAGTTTCACAAGGATTAGGTGCAGCTGCTGCATTTATTTCTACTATTAATATTTGTGGTGGTTTTCTTGTTACAAAAAGAATGTTAGATATGTTTAGGAGACCTACTGATCCACCAGAATATAATTATTTATATGGAATACCAGGTAAGAAAGTTTTTTAATAGTTGTTAAATTTAAAGCTCTCTATAAATGTTTTTTAAGAAAATGTTAGTTTATTGAATTCTTTTAATCTAAGGAGATGATAAAGTCAATTGTATGTTTTTACTGTAAAAGAAATTTTAAAGTAGATTTTTATTTGTATATATTACAAAAAGTATGAGAGAATATTCAGGCTTTTTCTATATGCTTAATAAAAAGTTTTTAAGTAATCGTATAATTTTTATGAAAACAAGATTATTATGTTTATATTAATTTAATAATGTACTATACTGAAAATTATTATTATACAAGTAGTTGCTGCATTTTGTTTCAGTTGTATATGCATTCATATCTGAAATTACAATGACATACATCATTATATTGAAGGAATAAGACAAACTCAGTCTAATAGTGTTAATATTCATAGTATTAATCAAACAGTTTTTACTAAACTCTGACATGCAAGTCATAAACATGTATGCATTGTAAATTTAGAAATAACAACATATATGACTTATAATTTATGTAAAATATTTATTTTTTAAATCAATATTTATATTTATTTATTTTTAAAATTTTAATGAAAATAAAACAAAAAAATTTTTTTAATAATTTATGCTATAATAATAATACTTATTTACATATTTTTAGCTGTTGCATTTACGGGAGGTTATGCCTTAGTAGCATCAGCTGGCTATCCAGAAATCCATCAGATGGCATATCTTGGAGCATCTCTTTGTTGTGTAGGTGCTTTGGCTGGACTTGCTTCACAAAAAACATCACGTCTGGGTAATGCATTAGGAATGGTGGGTGTTTCTGGGGGTTTAGCAGCTACGTTAGGTATAATGGATATATCTCCAGCACTTGCTGCTCAAATTTCTGCATGTATGCTAGGAGGTAAATATTGTTTACATAAATTAATTTTCTATGTTTATTGTCAGTCATGAAATTATATTCTGTATATTCAAAATATGAATTATATTTTATTTGTTTTATCATTTCTTTATTGTAATAAAATATACTTTCATATTTTTCTTTATAATAATTGTTATAAATTAATACTAAAATTATCTTGTTGTTTTAGGTGGCAGCATTGGATTATACATTGCCAAGAAAATTGAAATTACCGATTTACCTCAATTAGTTGCTGCTTTTCATAGTTTGGTAGGATTGGCTGCTGTATTGACATGCTTTGCAACTTATATTGTTGATTTTCCCACATTTGCCACAGATCCAGCAGCAAATGCTATTAAAACTGCTCTATTTCTTGGAACTTTCATTGGAGGAATCACATTTAGTGGTTCTTTAGTAGCATATGGAAAACTCCAAGGTTAATTAAATTTTAATTATTTATAAATTTTTTTTCGTAAGTTTTTAATAAACATTTAGTTAACTTTTATAAATTTTTTTATTGTTTAAAGCACTAAGGCCAAGACTCCACTAGCGTGAAAGTGGGCGTAAAAACCTTCACCATAAACGCTTTTAATTAATCACGTGACCTGTTTGCGTCTGGATTGCGGTGGAGGTCCGGCTAGCAAAGTTTTTACGGTGACGGTATTATCGAAGTTATAAAGGCAATGATTATATTCTAAGAGTTTTTTCTGTACTATAATTATAAATGTAGTAAAAATAATATCTTTACTTTCATATATTAACGTTTATTATCGTATTATTAATTAAGATAATATACAGCACTTATTAAGCTTAGCTTTTTTCATTATATACTCTTTTAAATTGAAGGATTTTCCTTTGGCTGTCCGTATCGTGTGTTTTAGGCATCCATTATTATAATCGGGATACTTCTTGTCATAGATACACGAATACTTTCAGATGTTTTCGATAAATCTTCCAGATCTATTCTAGAGTAGCCACGAGGGAACATACACAAAAACTCGTTTTCCGCCATTTTCGCACTGTGTTACAATGAACTAGATTTCACTGACTTCTGATTGGTGGATGGTACTGTTTTATGGCCGTATTCATGTCCAAAGTTGAACACTGCTCAACTTACTTTTATGCTGGTTTTACAACCTGCTCAAGCATAAAATATCAGGATCATGTGATTAAAAGCTTTTACGGCGAGGAGTTTTTATGCCGTTTTTACGGTAGTGGAGTCCCAGCCTAACTGCTTTGACCATTAATGAAAATTGCTTTTAAAAGCAATCAAAAACTTATATTTGATGATTATTTTATTTATAAAACAGATATTTAAATATATATGAAAAACTGATATTTTGGTTTTATTTTAAATAAGTATTAATATATATATATATATATTATATTTTTTAAATAGGACTTTTAGACTCTTCTCCTCTTCTTCTACCTGGAAGACACATGCTTAACAGTGCCTTATTAGCTGGAAATGTTGGTGCAATGGCCTACTATATGATGTCTGGAAGTAATGCTGTTGGTTTAAGCTGTCTTGGTACAACTACTGTTCTTTCTACTATAATGGGAGTTACTCTGACAGCAGCAATTGGAGGTAAAATATTTTAGACATTTTAATTACTACTAATACAGTCTTGTTCTGTATTTATTTTTATTTAAAACTTTTAATTTTGAATATATGCTAATTTTTATTTTATTTCATTATGATAGATANTATCGGTAATATTAAAAATAAATACTGTATTTAAATCGTGATCAAATTTTCAAGAAACAAATGTTTGTATTGAATTTGGACTATTACTGACCAGCGCTAACAGACTACCTATTGTTTAAAAGATCCTCTGGTGGCGCAAGAAGACGGATTTTATAAAATAAAAAGCAGTTGAAACTGCATTTTTATAAATAAAAATTTGACAAACTATTTATCGTTTTATGACGAGTAAAATTTTTTCGTCGTGTTCGCGGCTTTTAAGTAATGCATAAACCTTCGAAGCGCGAGACTCTTCGGACCGCGAGACATAGGCAGTGGCCCACATCGTCCATGCCTTACGCCACCCTTGGTCATAGAAATGTTGTAATTTGAATATAAATTATTTATAAATACGTATATCAAGTTAAATATATTTTACATCGTAATAACAATATAAGAGTTTACGACCACTGAACTGGGTGAGACGTTGTTGAAACAAAAAAGTTATGCATTCCATCACATACATAAACAATGTCATAATTCGCCAAGTACAAATCGGCAAATTTGTAAAATTTTTGTTTATTTTGAACAATCTGGATAATCGAGGTTCTACTGTAAATATGTTGTTTTTATTAAATGAATCTAAATTGTAATTTAGGAGCAGACATGCCTGTAGTGATAACAGTTCTCAACAGTTATTCTGGATGGGCTCTCTGTGCTGAAGGATTTATGCTTAACAATAATTTAATGACAATTGTAGGAGCTTTAATTGGTTCATCAGGTGCCATTTTATCATATATTATGTGTAAGGTAAATAAATTTTACTTTATAAAACTTTAAGTACTATTTTAGTCTAAGATAAAATCTGTTAAAAAACAAAATTATGAATAAATTAATATTATATCTGGAAATTTGCAAATATTAATAGCAGTTGGATTTTGTGACAAGCATAAACTTCAAATTCAGTTTAACTTAACTAACTATTTTGCAATTCAAAATGTTAAAAGAATAAATTTTAAAATAAAGTTAATAATTTGACTGAGTATGAGGTTTATTGTTAGGAATAGAAAATGAAATAGCCTTAGCTAAAATCTTTTGAAAGTTATAAACTCAAAATTCTATAAAAAGGAAGAAAAGGAATTGATAGCCTACAGTTATAAAATTTATTTTTGACTTTAAATAAAGATATGATGATAAGATAGCTATAACCACAGATTTTTACTGTAAAAAAATATATATGAAAATTGTAAAAAAATCCTTATATTTTATAAACAAATGGAAGCATTTTCCTTAGTTTGCTGATAAAAAGTAGTGTAGTAAGTGCTGTTCTGAAATGATTTCAGGTTCTAATTCTTATTCAGTAAACTATAACTAAATCAACACCTGTTCACTCGCTGAGAGATTTATTCTTAACACAAACGTTTTCAATCCAATCAATGGATCATCGTCAGGTAAATTAGAACATTTCAAAAAATAGAACAACAAGTTCAAAATACAAAAAATATAAATATTAATAACGGATAACCAATATATTACTAACAGCAAAATAACGTNCATAAAATTTATAACATTGAAATATCTCATTAACTCATTTTGTATTGAAAATGAGCAGTTGATTGTGAAAGTTTATTATATTGATTTTATTATAATATTTCAGTTATAAAATAGCTATGCCATTTAAAATTAATGTATTGTTAATTTGTAACTTTACAAAAATGTTTTAACAGGCACTAAAGACCATTATCATATTGATTTAAATGATGAAGTTACACGAGGATCAATTGTATTACATGAAGGTAAATTGATGTGGCCTCCTCCGCCTCCAAAAGAAGTGCCTGCAGCTCCCGTTGCAAAACCTGTTGCTGCTAAACCTGTTACACCCGAACCAAATTATTTTAATGAGACATTGAAAGATTCCTTATTGTATACAACAGGTAAAATTCTTATATCATAATTTGTATATAAAAGTTACTAATATCTAATTAATATATACAGTATAAGCTCCATATTTGTGCATTCATTATTCATGCATTTTGCATATCTGCAGTTATTTGCAACCATTTTTCATGTTCATGAAGCCAAATGATGAATAAAAATAATTCATGTTAATCTGAGACAATTAAATAATTAAAAAACTTTTTTAATCTACTGCAATTTATTGACAAATACATTGTTAATGCTATCTTGTCTTGTGTTATTTTAGCACATGCTCTTATAAAGACAGTAAAAATTGTTTCATGTTAGTATGCATTGTGAATGTCAGCATTGTTTTTCTTGTGAATTTTAGTTGTATTGTTTTATCCTTACAAATCATCAGTGTCATTTATACAAGAAGACTTTAATAGTTTGATATTTTATCAAAAAGGTGAAAGAAAGTGCTCAAAGACAAAATTAAAATGTTAGATTGTTTTCAGGGATGTAATTCAGCAGCCATTGTTGTTCATCATAAATGCTTTCATCACAAATGAATCTACCATAAGAAATGTTAAGATAAAAGAGGGAGAGATTACAAATATGATTGCTGAATTTCTTTGTGTGAAGACATGTTTTTATTTTCTAATATAAGGTTAGTGTTAATAAATAATGTGTTACTCCTTTTCATATTTGCACCAATTTTGCAGAATGTAACTCCTGCAAATGTAGTACATCTATTGTATATAATTTTTACACTCATATGATTATAATATAAAATTATAAATGTAAGTTGTAGTTATAATTATATTCTAAAATATGTGTCATCTACAATAAAACTTATTTTTGTTATATAGGTTTATATTTAGATTATCATACATAAGAAATTTGAGGGCTGGAAAGTAATTCAATAGCATCATTTTTAAAAAATTATACAGATATTGAATATACATTTTTTAGATTCTTTTTTTTATAAAATTCATAATAGAGGAGTGATGATAAAAAACTATCAGTATACAATTGATGAATTTCTGCATTTAAAATTTAGTTTTTTAAAAATAGGTTTAAAGTGATTTGTTTGTTTTACAAATTTTTTTTTATCTACTGTATATTGGCTTTGCATTTTATTTTCAATAGTACATTGATTTTATTATGAGTCATTTTGGATATCAAAAAATATTTTAACATTTTACTTTTACACAGTGTGTGGTGCCTAGTTTTCAGCCTTATTGATAATTATGGAATCTATATTTAATATAAACATTATCATGTGGTGTAAAAATATTATAAATGATGATATAGTTATAAATAAATGAATTATATAAATTTTCAGGATTAGGTTCTTTAGTTGGACTTGGAATGGTATCACCAAATCAGTCTATAACTACAATGACAACTATATTTGGGTTGTCTGGAATAGTTGGTAAGAAGCCATTATATTTGACCATTATGAATTTGTTCTTTATCAATTCAAAATTGATGTTTATGATTATATTTTAGGTTATCATACTGTATGGGGTGTAACTCCAGCACTTCATTCTCCACTAATGTCAGTTACTAATGCAATATCTGGTATAACTGCAGTTGGAGGCTTATTATTAATGGGTGGTGGATTGTATCCTACTACAGTTTCACAAGGATTAGGTGCAGCTGCTGCATTTATTTCTACTATTAATATTTGTGGTGGTTTTCTTGTTACAAAAAGAATGTTAGATATGTTTAGGAGACCTACTGATCCACCAGAATATAATTATTTATATGGAATACCAGGTAAGAAAGTTTTTTAATAGTTGTTAAATTTAAAGCTCTCTATAAATGTTTTTTAAGAAAATGTTAGTTTATTGAATTCTTTTAATCTAAGGAGATGATAAAGTCAATTGTATGTTTTTACTGTAAAAGAGAAGTTATATCAGGAATTAGTTAAAACTTTATTATAACTATTTATTTATTTAGTTAATACAGCTGTAGCTAAATTGATATAATTTACAATTTTGTTACACTATAAATGGAAATATCTTTTTAAATCAGAAATGAATGTAAATAATACTGTTATTATTTATTAAATTGAAATACTGTTTATGAAATAAGTGTTATTTGATTGGAAAATATATTAATTTTGGGTTATTAAGTGTTTTCTGTAATCTTTCAAAAGTATTCAAATATTTCTGTTTTCAGTTTATTTTTCACATAAAATTTATAACATTGAAATATCTCATTAACTCATTTTGTATTGAAAATGAGCAGTTGATTGTGAAAGTTTATTATATTGATTTTATTATAATATTTCAGTTATAAAATAGCTATGCCATTTAAAATTAATGTATTGTTAATTTGTAACTTTACAAAAATGTTTTAACAGGCACTAAAGACCATTATCATATTGATTNTTAACAAACTTTAATAAATTTTTCAATTTGTGAAAATTTCTACGTAATTCAAAGGTGATTTTAATACATATTTTACACAGCATTATTATTATGTTGGGTTTTGTGAGTTATACTCAGTTGACATCGGTGGCAGTGTACTATGCCAGACTAGAGTCAAGGCATAGTAACCAAAACAAAACAAAAATTAAAAAGCTGTCAGTGTGTGTGTCTGTATTCAGGAATTTCTTAACAATATGACATGTATTCAATATTATTATTATTTTAGAAGTTGCAGGATGTATTAAATTACTTTAAAAGGGGAAAAATAATTATATCATTCTANCCTTTGTTTGTCCTGGGATTTCAAGAAAAAAGTGATCTGTTTCCCAGGATCCTGAGGAATCCCAGGATATAATTATTTTTAAGATATAGAATAAATCTTGAAACATTATGTACATTTACCTGCTCTCCAATTTTATACATTGGCAATGTAAAATAAGAAACAGATAATCTGATGATAATATATATAATAACACATTACAATAATTATATTCTTTTGATCAGTTCTTTTTAACACTTTTCATCATCAGTCATCTTGGCTTTTAAAACTTTTTTCTAGCCATTCTCAAATTGCATTGCATTGTTTCAGAAATGTATCTGTTTGATAAAGAATGATATAGTTGAGAGAGCAAAGACTATCTGTTTAAGATAACTGGACTTATTTAATTAGCAGAAATGTTTTCAGCTCTTCTTAAGCTTTCATCAGTTTCTTAAATTCTTACAAGAAATGCTGTTCTCATTCTAGTTATCTAAAATTTATTCAAGAAAAGTATAATAGTACAATGGGTGATTGGTTAACAAACAGTTTGGACTACAAACAAATTGGATAATGAACACTTTCGTAAAAGATTTTTATGTTCAGACAACAAACACCTCACAGAACAAACACAAGAAGAAGCGACATAAAATAATGAATACCGATTGGTCTTCCCTTGTCTTCAGGCAACAATTCAAAACTTTTCGGAGTGCGGGAGACATCGACATCAACGCTCAATCTGGTATATACTGATCAGATAGTAGTCCTCCAAACTTTGAAACTCTCCCTTGTAATTCCAGCCTTTTATTTTTCTGACAGAAACAATTCTTTTATAGTATTTGCAAGACTGTCAGGTGGG